CTACAAAATGCCCTTTTCAAACTTCTCATAAAGACCCTCATAGATTTCCCGTCTGAGGCAAAACCTGTTCAAGGTAGTGCGTGTTCAGTGTTTTTCTTCTCTACAGTAGGAAGTGATGAATGTCAAAATGAATGCTTACATAACAAGGCTGACATTTGTGTTTTCAAGTTAAGTAGCAATGGATTAAAGTAAATATGAACAATTACTTCTTTGGATCTAAGTATGGCCGAAAAAAGAAGTGAGGAACATCTTTTTTGGTCATTTTCAGAATAATCCGGACCTTCCCACATTCGGTTTTTCACTTTTGCATTCTAAATCTGAACAACCAAAGGCCTTTTCAGTTGATCATATACTTCTGCTTTACAACAAAATATCTGTTGCTACACTAATTAAAAGAGTTTTTCACAGGAGTTTTTAGAATATTACATATAAGAACAAAATCAGTCATTAACACAAAGACTGAGAATTTCTTTCTAAATGCAGTGTGAGACCAGGGCCAACCAAAACAGCCAGAGCTTGCCGACAGTGAACCGGGAGCCAAGGCTGCAGACTCATCGCCACAGGGTCCGCTGGCAGCAAGAAATGTGAGAGCCAACAGTCAAGTCAAGCAAGCCAGGAGTCAACCCATTGAAGATCAGAGCATTTATAATATTCTATAAAGGAATAGCGGGTAAATAAATTTGTATTTTAATAGATTAATTCTATTTTTCTGATCAGTGGGACATCAAAAAGAGGAAACACCCAATAAGTGTAAAAGACAGAGTTAACACGACTTAACCCTGTAATGCCAAATGTATCATATTTGATACATACGGTTTCTGAAATGTTTTGCGTCTGACACCTTTTGCACAATTAAATGGTAAAAACTTTGCTCAAAATCCTATTGTACACAATCAGATACACCTGATAACAGGGGGCAGAAGTATACACGAAAAATAATCTTGATCTTGATCGCATAGTAATAAATTATTAATATTAAAAATGTATTTCTGTTTTTTCTTTTTACATATTTTGTTAAAAGGCCAAATAAGGAATTCAAACCCCCAAAAATGTTTTTCCTGTTTTGTTTTGTTCTTAGATCAGGCTTCAAAGGGTTAAGCAAAACCCATAAAATTATTTGTTGAAACTTTGGCAATTGCTTCCATGATGACGGATCTTAACAATGGTTTAACTTTCTGATTGGTATGCATTTTTTTAGACATCAGTTTAGCAGAGGTCCCTCGTGCCCTAACCTGTCAGTACTCAACAAAAGCCACATGACCATTTGATTTAAATTTAATACTATGTCTGCTTTAGAACTTAAAAAAACTATCAGATATTTAAGCAGAGTAATAACTCCGTGTTGGAATCTAACACAAAACAGCTTGACTACTTTGAGAGTAGTTTTACACAATGATTCATATCCATGAGCTGAGACAACCAAAGACAGCAATCCCAAATGTATACGATCAATACGTTATGTTTTAATATATCAGGTTGATCTTTTAAGCATGGAGGCATGCTGTACAAAATACTGTTCTTTTGGCCACTTTGCAGCACTGACTCAAAGTGTTTCAATGAATTCAAAGTTGTGGCTTATGGCATGACTATATCTTAAAAGAAACCCAGACTCTGACTAGTGAACATTTCTAACAACCTGGAATTTATTCATTATTGTGTTTAACTGGCTCCTGACCTTGTCTACAGCTGATCCTTTTGGACTCAGACATTCATCACTTCTTTATGTAAAAGAGGCAGCAGGGACAAAGGCTCCTCTTCATTCCTCAATGAGACAGTATTCACTGAACCATTGAAAAAGAAAAAGAAGGGAGCTAGGGGTCGGGGTCTTGTTCACTAGAGTGAAAGCAAACCTTGCTGTGGGCGGTATGTAAAGAGACAGCATGCAGGTTTGTGTCTGACTTAGGGCTCAGTGAGTCACCAAATAGGGGGGATCAACAGAATGCACAGTTGGAAGCATAATTATAGGTGAGATGTCAACAATAGCATTTCTGCCACACAGAAACTGTTTCGCAGTTAGAAACTTCCATGTAGTTCAATCTAAATGTCAATCCAATTGCGGGGGAAAAAAAAAGAAAGTTCAAATCAGAGCTTTGAAACACAAAAAAGTATGAACATGGCTAAAGACAAAGAAGAATGAAATCCGCACAAATTGCAAATTGAAACTTCAATATCAGTTAGTGTTTTAAAATGCTGTTCAGTCTCTGAAAAATGGAATGTTTGAATTTGATTCATTCTTTCATCCTAAATGACAGCAAATGATTACATAATTTGGCTGGCATATATCATATGGTTTTGTTTAATAACTCTAGATTGTCATTAAGTTTGTAGAGGGTTTCAACTGACCTTTTTTTTCTATAAGCAATTTAATGCAAAGGTATGGGTTTTTCTGGGCTTGATTGTTCTTATATGCAGGATGAATCCGAAGACTAAAAACACATGAATTGTAAAAAATCTATTGGTTAAAAGGTGATCTATGTTAAGTGACAATACTGCAAAGCCTTTAGAATTTACTTGTAAAACATTATTTTCTTCTTTATTAATTTTTTTTATGTCTCTGTCCAAACCAATTACTATCTTTCTCTGAAGTTGTTGGTACCTGTTTTACCGTTTTGCTTTTAAGATACCAGTAACAGATCTGGTTTCACCTCTGATGCGATAAGATGTCTCATGATAGTATTATTCCAATCATAAATGACTAATTTACTTTGTGTCTGTTTCCAACTTTAAATAACTACTGTAGAACAACTGGGGAGACGGTATATTTGAAAGGTGAAAGTGACAACAGGTTGATTGACCTCGAATGGGTGATTCAAACCAATCTGGATGTCATCCGAATGCTGCCTCGATGGAGAGCTACATCACAAAGGAAATCTATCATGCTGCACAAAGCAGTCACACAATGTTTGTTTTAGAAGAAGAACCTGGAGGTTTTCATGAAAGTATTAGTTATGCATCACGCTAAAGTGTTAAAAATGTTTCAGATCCACCCATCTAAATATTTGTTATAATGTATATAATTTATAATATCACAGTTGGCCAACTGTGATAGTCTTTTGCTCCCTTGTGACCATACAAAGAAGCATTATAACAAATATTTAGATGGGTGGATCTGAAACTTGAGCTCACCCCTCATTTCAACCCTTCAAACTGTCTGAGAAGGGAGTTTTTAGCATCTTTGTGAACTTGATATGTGTCACAGACAAATAGCTGTGATGACAACTGACTGAATCTGAAGCTTACTGCCAAAATCCTTCGAAAAAAGAAAGGAGTTGTGAGCAGATAGAACAAAAGGGAGTTTCCTTTCATGTAACCCTCCTTAGACACACTTTCAGATTCCAAAGCCTCAATATGTATGCAAGTCAGACAGAGTAGAGCATATCATATCTTCATGTAAATAGTATAAGACAACAATACAACAAAACAACACTGGCACACAGTTGTAACAATTCAATGGTTGACTTTATAATTTCCTGTTGCCATGGCATTTTTCAAAGATTAAAGAAAAAAAATCAACTGAATCGTGATTGAAATATTTCCATGTTAAGCATGGTATTCTTTAGAAATATGCACACTCAAACTAAATAAATGAATTTCAGTGACGTCTGAGATAGAAGTGTATTTTCCAACACAGACGTTGTTCCATTATTTCTTCATACCTCATAGACATTTCTGGGCTACACCCTCTGAGCAGAGTGTCTTAGACAGCAGCCAGTGACAGCCTGCAGCTATGATGACTACATATAAAAACAGTAATCACTTTAAATCACTGTCACACGTGAATACAATAGACTCTGAATGAAATCCACCAACTAAGTCACATCACACTTGGTCGTGTAGAAGTTTCCATGTGTTTTAAAACATGACTGCTATCACAGTCTGTACCACATGTGGTATTACTACAAAGTGTCTTCATTGTCCATTTCTATCCTGTTTCCGCCCTCTGATTTAGATCTGTGTTCTAATGTATTGCTTTCTAGATGAATTGGAGTCTGGAATGATTTTATTTCTCCGTTTGTTAAAGTTTCTGTAACATTTAAAAAAAAAAAGATCTGAACTATTCTTTCCTTTTGTTAAATGTATACCTTTGAAGCACATCTAAGAATTAAGGTTCTCTAACTCCAGTAATCAGTGAGCAGAGATAAGACAAGCATGTACCATACAAGAGTCAATTAAAGTAATATGAGTCTGTTTGTTTGAAGAAAATAAAGGATTTTCCATGCATGACCCAATCTAACAGGCTCAGCACTGCACATGCTTGGTTGAGCTCCAAACAGTCAAGAACAATTTGCTTACCATTAAACAAACTTTTTTCAAAATCCACTCAAGTTACTTTTCTTTTTATTTAAAAAAAAGTCATAATTACATGAACAAATACATACATGTTCAGTCTGAAAATGAATTAAAAATTTAAAAATTATTTCGAAATCAACATCAAAAAGTCAAATTCACCTGACATTATATTTTATAACAGCTGGTAGCAGAGGCAAACACTTCCATGGTTCCACAACCATAATCACCAGTAACTCGGACAGCTCTCTCTTTTCATGAAACTTGGACATAACATTCCAGGAACAACAAGACTGCCAAGCCACAGAGACATGAAAGTGCACAAATCCATCTGTTCGAAGAAGAGATGCCCATGACAAATGCAGCTGCCACACAGCCTCTGCGGTATATAGTTTGAAGAATGCAAAAACAGAAAAACAAGTGGTACAACTTCGAAGTATATCTTTACCTATACCTTGAATGAACAATTTATGTCTCCAAGTAAATTCTTCCTCTATAACCACTTAATAAGGGTTACTTACGCTGGGAAAAAATGTGCATGTTTTATTAATGTTATGTCTAAATTTCAATATCTGGTAACATAAACCTGAACGAGATTATGGCCACCACAGGGAAAGCCACAGCGAGTGGTTAGCATTACCCCCAGCATTTCATGCCAGGTGTCTTAAAGTAGCATAGTCCAGTGTATTTTTTCCAACTCAGTGATATTCTTCCTACTCTCTGTCCTGCTGCTGTTCCTGGCCCTGCTGATGGCCACCTGTGCAGTGCAGCATACACTGCCCTACGTACGCACATCAAAACAAAACCGGCCAAATCTCAGTTGTTACATGGCTGACGGAAGACAAATCCCTATCCAGCTCACTCGCTCAAGTCAATGTCTGGGTAGGTTGATGCATTTATCCTTACATAAGTGAAAGTATTAAATAGGTTTATGAATGATTTTAAAAATCAATCTAATAAATAATGTAATGATGGAGAAAGAAAATGCTGGTCGTGGATCTATGTCAGAAAGAAAAAGGAAACCAGGTCGATTATTCATTATCAGCTGTGTGGGTTTTATTATTATTTTTTTCATTCATTGCTTCTTACTTATAGATTGTTTTTTCTTTTAAATCACTAAAAAGACCTATTTGTCCTTTTTCAGCAGAAACAAAACACAAAATCAGTCCTCATATTCTGTTCTGTTGCTTCACAAAATCACAAAATACGTATTTTTAAGGATTGTGTGTCTTTGAAACTAATGAGAAAAAAATATGCTGATGGTAGTTGTTGAGGTTTACACACTCCCACAAACAGACCGAACAGAAAAAATAAGTGCTTGGAGGAAACTAGGGAAACTGATAAACGGATGGGAACTCCAGTGGGAGGAAGACTGCAGACACATGTCTGAGTCACTTCGATTTTAGTGCTCTGACAAACTAAAATGAAAAGTAGAACAAAAGAATAGGAAATCTTTGATCACATAGCATGACAGAAGCAAACAAAATGGCCAATATTACCCTGAACGTGGTACTGATTACAGTATTATCTTACATTAATCCTTCCAAATGCATATTTGATTTTTTTTTTAACTTTGCACAGTGGTGCTAGATCATTAAAACTACATCTAATATATTCACAAACAGGTATTATTCCATCATTCAGTTTTTTAAGCTCCAAGACCAGGAAAAATTAAATCACACTAAGGCCGCCCTGCTCTTTCATCAGTATAAAAGTGGGAGCTGGCATTATCCCCTCACAAGGAAAAGGGAGAGGTGAACTGTTGGCGTGTAATAGACCTGATATGGTACAGTGTTGAAAAGGTCACTGCTTCTTCCAGAGTTAAACCAGGGAGAACAGCTCCAGTGACAATAAGGTAATAGCATTTCTAGGCTTGATCAGACATGTGCACAGCAGAGCAATATTCTCCTCGGGACAGAGTTCTCTAGCCCCATGTCAGAATTTGCTCTTTAATACTTCAGCTTAGTTTTTATGATTATTATGTCTATTTTTTTCAACATTTTTTTTTTCAACATTTCAAAATTGTTATTTGACTTTGTTGCTACAGTGGACCAAAATCAAACCAAGGCTAAACAACAGGGATTAGAGACGGCATTATCGTTATTGTAACTCTAAACCAAAAAGATAATTCAAAGGGGAGGAAAAAAAATAATAATACACGGCTTAGTGGAATACAGACAGCAGTTGGCTAAGAGAGTGGGGTTAGAAGCTCTGCTCATTGTACGGATTTGGCATGATTTTCTATCATAACAAGATTAACCCTTCTTTTCACATGAACTGTTTTCAGTAATAACAGTGGAATCATGTAATTCGTAACATCTGGGATGACCTCCAATTTGATTCGATGATCTAAGTTATCCCTTGGCAAAAGGCACACCCAGGGGCGGACGGAAAAAAAAGCAACATAGTGACCATCATCACCAGCAAATTTAACCCAATGCATAGCATATTTCGTAATTATGTGCTATATACCCTTTTTAGTCAACGATATACAAAAAGCCCTTAGGAGAAGATTGTGTCAGTGCTGTGTCAGTGTTTGGCTCAAGAGCAATGACGCCAGAGGATGTATGCATTTGTTTTTGTTTTTTTATGGAAATATGTGATTAAGTCCTCTCCTAGACAAACATGGCTAGAAGGAAATTTCACACTATTCTACGACTGCTCCAAAACATAAATACGGCATAATAATAGTAATTATGATGTCTGTGTTTTCTTGCATTACGTTACCATGACGTCAAATTGATGCAGATGAAAATGAAAACTGTTAAAGTAGGCGGGCTTCTCAGTGATGTACACGGTAAGTGCACAGAGGTGGAAGTGCTTTACACACAGTCATCATCACGTTGTGTCTTTCCGTGTTGCCCCTTTCTGTCTCCACGCTCCATGTCATACATCACTCCGTATGACACAAAGCAGCCATACCGAAGACATTACGTTAGTGATGTCTGAAATACTGACACCCATGCTCTGTAGACACGTAACCAAATTACCATTTCAGTCAGTTTTCATCTGAGACTGGCATAGCAATATGTCCCTCAAGTTGTTTCGCAAGTTTCAGGAGAAAACCTGATTTGACATAAGGCCTTTTTTTTGTAATATTTGATAATTTGTCAATATTACTGCAACGTAACAGCTGAAAGCATTTTCCATTCCACGGAGTGGTCAAAGGATTGTCTTCCTGGCTTTTTTTATATCACTGAATGTTTTAATCAACAGCATTGTTTAACGTCCAACACTTCCCCTGTTTAAGCGAAATTATGCTTATTCTTTACATTACCGCAGAGGTATTATTTTAAATGCAATCACTAAAAACACCAAGATAAGTGTTTCCATGTTACTCCCACATTTTACTCTCATAAAACCAAACAACATTTTCTCACAGTATCCCCAATGCATATATATTTAACTGAAAACTCAACAGAGAAATTGTTGAAAATTAAATTAATAATGAAGAAGTTTTATTCTCTGTGCTACAAAGTCTCACAAATTGTTGATGAGCGACAAACACAAACAGCTCGCAACTTGACTGACAGCAGTACAGCAAGAGGCACATCAGCAATCATGCCTCATTTCCGAGTAATTTGGTCTTGACTGTGCTGGTTTAACTCCATAGGTGGTACAGTCTGTTTGGAAGTCTGAATTAAAATAAAAACGTCATAGAACGAACTGGGTTTACAAGAGATCGAAAAGTAAGAATTATTGAGTGTATGAAGAAAGCAGCAGTAATAGTACTTTATGTCTTTTCGGTAGTTTCCGAAGGCTTATATGAGACCCACATGTTGTGATGAAGAACTGTAGTGCTGGACGTTTTGCACCTGCCTGTAAAAGACACATTATATGTGGGTTATTGGTGTGAGGTATTAGAACTGTTCATAAATTATTTTACCAGTAGCAGGGGAGTTTGGCTGGTAAAAGAGGAGAATTACTGCACTCTTGAAAGCAGGGGAGAAAGCTGTTATATTGTTTTATTAAAGTTGAATTTCAAGAACTGGAGAGGTGCCTCTCTTCGCTGGTCGCTACTGCACTTGCCTGTAGTTGTATTGAACTCTGGAGTGTTTCGCTAGGGGCACTGGGACACGTGTTGGTCCGGCCTGCGGAGCTGTCTGGAGTTAAATGTTCTTCTCGGGTATTGGGTGGGCTGTCTAGAGGGGACTAGGGGCCTTCAGGCATTTGGGTATCTGGCCCATGCTTTGGTGGGCCTGGGCCTAGTGGGACTGGTAGATTGTTCCTTGTTCCTTTAGAGTTCGTCTCCAGGACCTCAGTGGCTCCATTTTGTGCGTGCACCTGCCTGAACACAAGTTTTAGTGCTAATCAGAATCAGAATCAGAATTAGGTTTATTGCCAAGTAGGTTTTTCACCTACAAGGAATTTGCTTTGGTGTTTGGTGCACAGCACTTCTATGAGAAACAAGAAAGGACATACAATGTAGAAATAAAAATATAAAAATATAGAATAAAATAAAATAAATAATAATAATAATAATAATAATAATAATAATAATAATAATAATAATAATAATAA